GATTGATCTGTGGAATATCCTGAGGTTGAGGAATTTCCGGTACGCTTAGTACTCCCGGTCTAATCAATCCTTCTGTCGGCATTTCACCTTTTCCTTAAACACCAAAAAAAAAATATCTACTTAAAAAAAAATTACTTCCCTGACGTTGTCCCGGGTTTCGGCACCAGTTAAGCGTCGTCGGACTTAGAAAACAAAAAAAAAAGAAGGAAAAGGGAAAAGATGTAACATACACGACTTCTGAAATAACACTGCTTTATTCGTTCCATAAGCCTCCTTATATACACTTAGCCTGTTTATTTACATTACCAGATAGTATTAAGGCTGATACCGCCAGTCTCCGGTCTTTATCTTATATATATATATATATATATATATATATTAAAATTAAACAATTTTTATTTTGAAGATGAGTAATGAACACACAATACGCTGAAAAAAATATTAACTTGTTCATTCATTCCTGAAAGACCTGGATATACTACTTCGATTAGAACGTGAGTTGGAAGACATTCACAGGATAATTTACGAGGAGCACGAACGCGTGTTACCTCACGTTTACCCTCAAAGCACATTCTATGAAATATAAAAACTGGATTTGGAGGACCTTCAGAGGTGCTGGAAACTTTAAAATCCTCAAAAAATCATCCAGACATCAATAAATTTTGGCTTAAATTTGAAATAATGGTATTTTTTGTGCTTGGAAAACTATTTTTCATACTGAACTTCATCTTATTTGATCAATTTTTTCCAACCAGTGGACACCCAGTTATTTGAAGTAAACCATCCATCATACCATATAAACTAATGTTCAGTATCGACGTTTACAAAGTAAATAGTGTATAAAGGTATTCATGTGCTTTTTGCTTAGTTTTAATTTTCTTATTCCTAGGTTATTTTATTTTATTTAATGTATTCATTTTTTGTACATATAGTGTGAATGTCATCCTACCTCAGTATAAGTAATGTCCATGTGACAGATGTAATATTCAAAAGTAAATAAAAAAAAAAAAAAAGAAGTTTAGCCACTGAGCTTTGGGGCTCCACCAAATCATCGAATTCCTATCGTATCCAATCCTTGCAATCCAAAATCCTCCGTAAAATCCTTAATGCTCCATACTTTGTCACAAATAAAACCATTCATAAAGACCTTAATTTACCATATGTCGCTGATTTAGCCCGAGCCAGATATCTATCCTTTCATGATAAACTCCAGTCGCATACAAATCCCCTAGTTTCCACCCTTGCTTCTTCCTCGATCCCTGATAATCCTCCTAGGCGACTAAAAAGGAGATGGCCTTGATCTTCTTACTTAGAATTATTTAGGGAGTGCTGCCACTGGATAGTATCTCTTCAAGCCTGTTCACGTCATTATTAATAATGTGTCCATATTTACTAGTTGTATTTGTATACAGTTGTAAATTTCATTAAATAAACAAAAAAAAAAAGTTTAGCCGAACTGAATTTAACAAAAAGTTGTAAAATATAGCCTCACATCCTTCTCAAGTTCTGTATAAGAAAATATATTAAGAAGGTCAAGAAAAACATGGAGATAAATATTCATATTTCACAAGAAGCTCAACCCGAGATGAACACATTTTCATTTCAAGAGATAAAAAAATATTCTCTCCCCTTTCTAAAGGAGGGCGACACCGAAGAGAAGGCTGCTAAGCCCGCAGGCTCTTGACATGAGGAGGAGCAGGAAGTCTTAAGCATTTCAAAAGGAAATACCTTATTCAAGCAGGGCTTTAGGGGCAACGTGACTTATCTCTTGTGTACTCACTAGGAAGGACCAAGTTATTGTGCGGCTTATCAAAGCTCAGATCAAGGGGGCTTTATTTAAATAAACATGAGGGGGACTTGAGAAAAATATGTTATCTCTAATCAAATAAATCGTCCTTAATTAGTAGACTTGACTGAATAAATCAAAATATACGAAATTAAAAGTGTTAATTATACAAGAAAAATTAAAAAATAGGTGATTAGAATATAACTGAAATATTCCAAAACAAAGACTCCAGTCTCAATACAATACAATTATATAACTAATCAATTAATGTTTAAAAAATTTAGGCATTACTAGGAGGTGAAGATTAGGTAATAATCTCATGGATACGAACCGAAGATAGCATATCTCACTTCAACAGCCAAAACATATAATCTACAAAGTGTTCCGTAAATAGATGGAAATTTTTAGGAGCAGACCTCAAGAGAAATAAAAACGTAAGTATAAATTGTGCCAATTTTCAGCTGAAAGATAGGAAATCCAAGTTTTGTGTTGTTTTTTTTTAATAGGAAGCGATAACTAAAGAAATGTTTAATTTATATAATTAAAAATTACTTCACTGTAAACTAGACAGAAATTACTTCAAATGATGAAAATGGAGTTTTTCATTGTTAAAACCTTTTAAAGAGAACATTTGAGCGGCTAAACTAAACTGAATTATTTTTTTTTTTAATCAAAAATTATTAACAACAATGTAGTCTGTAACTCTGTGGAATTGATGTGTCGTCGAATGGAATGTGCGAAAGCCGAATTGGTGATCAGGTATTATCTGTTGGTCAGTCAATACGTCGACAAGTCTTTTGCATATTAATTTTTCAAAAACTTTAGGGCGTATATAAAGGAGGCTAATGGGTCTGTAGGATGAAGGATTGTATATGTCTTTACTGGGTTTGTGAATCATCTTAATGAGTGAATATTTCCATTGTAAAGGGAATTTTGAAGTCCTTAGTATACAGTTGTAAATTGTTGTCAGAAATACTACAGCTTTCTTGGGCATTTGTTGGAGTGCTTCGGTTGTTATTAAGTCATAACCAGGAGCTTTTCTTTTTGGTAATTGTTTGATATGAAGTGCAACCTGAGATGGAGTAAAAGAAGGAGGTGGTAGTGTCAGCTGAAGAGGGATATCTAATGTGTTAAGTACTAGAGTCTGATGTACTGTGTTAGTGAAGTCTGTTTAACGGTTTAAATACAGAAGAAAGGTGGTGAGCAAAGAGTTCAGATTTTCCCTCATCACATTCGCTGATTGTCAACAATAAGTTGACAGGCGCAAATATATTTTCGATAGACAAAAAAAAAATATCATTAACAAAATATATCCCACTTTTAGAAAAATTTCCTCGTTTAATAATTTTTAAGTCCATATCAATTAATTTAAGGTTTATTAGGCAAACACTTAATATTCACCTGAAGTTGTGTAAAAAAATAATGTTATTTTTTATCCATACACCTAAAAGTTGTTGTCTTGACCAAATACAATAATGGATTAATACAAATTCAGACATAGCTGTGTCTTATAGCTTAGCTATTTAATTGGAGTGATTATTTCCGAAGGGACAAACTAATCATTCATTAAGTAAATTGTCACTTGGACTTTATGATTATGGAGAATGAAGCTTGACTAATTGTGTGTGTTGAATAGCCTGTTATGGAAACATTATATTGTATATAGAAATAAACATACTCGCGAAAATTCGAAGAAGTATAGTAACACAATGTGAGAGTTCTCGCTGGGCTCTTATTTATTTTCTACTGAAATTTTCTTAGAAATAAAATACAGTGAGATGATTCGTCTGGCTGGAAATATGAACAATAAAACGAAATATAGAATACATTCCGGTCTGTATGATGTAAAATTCGAAGCCGCTTTTAAAGCTTACAGCTTAATCCGCTTTTGAGCTTCAGAGAGTTTCATACACGAAAATATTCACGCAACACGGCGAAATATTTTGGCATAAGACTGTTGTTCACACCTTTAGGAATACACCGAGAAAATCCAGGAATTCATCACAAATATATGCATTTGTTAAAATCTTCAGATGCTGAAAGTATATATACATGTTAAATTCTGAAGAAGATATGGATTCAAATCCTTGATATTTGGATAATTCAGAATGACTATCAGTTAGATTATTTCTTTTTGATGAATTTATTGTCCAATTTCTGATTTTACATATTTATTATACTTATTTTAAATAAATTTTTAATATTATTTTTCTTTTATATACAGCTTGTCAATATAATTTTATTTAATTTTTCTATTTGATGTAACAATAAATTACATGCTATGTTTAAAAACATTAGGCTCTTTCCAACATTAAATCAACACTCAATGACAAATATTTTAAAATTCTCAAATATAAAAAATACGCAAAAAGAAACGTATTGTCTGAAGACGTTATGGATCACTCATCGACCAATTTTAAACAATATGTTTTTGGAAAATAGTTTGAAGTTTCGAAAAATATTTTTTTATTTAAAGCATTAGAAAAAAACATTAAATTTACCATACACGATCCATTAAAATTCTACTTATTCATAGAAACAAACCGAAAATCTTTTTTACAAAATTTACTTTCAGAGAAAATTGAAATTGAAATTTTAAATTAAAATTAAAATAAAAAAAAAATATTACACTATTGAGTGCAGTATATCATAGAAAAGGGCATTTAAAATGATTTAAAATCATATAAATCCTAAATATCTAGCTGAATTAGGAACAAATTTAAAGCAACTTTTAATCATGCTGTTTTCTTTTTCAAGTCCATAAATGAGTTTTTTAAAGATATTGTTTAAAAGTAATAGGAATTGATATTTCAGTAAATCTTCATATTTTTCCAAGTTTACATAAATACTACACTTTTTTCCGAAGAAAATGGTGAGGTTCAAAATGGTCTATTTCTAAGTTGATTTGATATGGAATGTCAAATATGGTCATTCCATATGACTAACTAAACAACGTCCTAATAATGTAGTACAATATACACATGATGTATGCCATGTGATGTACTATCTCTATGTGATTTTATCTTTTTTCAGTATTGATGTAATCCACGTATCATGTTATTTTCGTATTCAAACAGTTACAAAACGTTACATTAACATCGTGCGTACTAGGAAATATACTGGTAGTGTCACAGGTTGAATAAAAATACTTAAGAGCTAATGATTCCTCTTAAGACAACCGGTAGTTAATGACAGAGTAGGCGTCATTAAGAAGTCAGCGATGAGTTGAGCAAGGCCAAAGAGGGACGTTCAGGCATCCACTGATTAGTAATGTGGAGGGAGAGAGAGAGAACGTGCTTGACAAAGGACATAATTCGAAACGGACCGAAGCTTGGACACCGAATGCGAAGTTCGGTAAACTATGACAATGGGAGGGGTCACCGATTGACAGGATGCCAACTGAAATAGGTCACGAATGTTCATTCAGATCGCAACGTGGGCGATGCCATAATACAGAGGCAGGTGAGTCTCTATAAGTGAATGGATGTCAAGTACAGCAGACACAATAATAGTTCAATAATATATACGGAAAAGAGATATATATAATTTTATAGTAAAGAGGAGATAAGAAGCAATTCCAGAAGATCGAGTCATCATGAAACTAGGAAACTACCTCTCTATCACGATTTTACATTTTTTTTTTTTTAATAAAATTTATAACTGTACTAAATAAATACAACTAGTAAGTATAAGCAAATCAAGAGTAATGACATGAACAGACTTGTGGAGACACTAGTCAATGATTGCACTCCATAAATAGTTTAAATAGCACACCCTAAATAAAAAGATCACCAGGCCATTTTCTTTTCGGACACTAGGAGGATTATCATTTTTTTTAATAATCTATTTATTGAATAATAATACATATCTTGCTTGGGCTAAATCAGCAACATATGGAACATTAAGGTGTTTATGAATTGTTTTAATATTTACTGTGACAAAATATGGAGCATTAAAGATTTTACGAAGGATTGGATACGATAGGAACTCGATGGTTTGGTTGAGCTCCGAAGCTCAACTCCGTATGTCCATACAGGTCTTATTATATGCCATATAATTACAGAAACACACTAGCTGGATTGCAGGTGCTTGCCGTAGTTTAGAGACCCTTGGTTTAGATAAAAATTTTCGGAATAATTATATTATTTAATTAAATTTTGACGTTAACAGAAAGACGTGTAATAAACTTATCGCGTAAATTTTAAAGTGTGATTCTGAAAAAGTTTTGTTAATGAGGATGATACAGCTGTTGATATAATACGGAAGATCTCGTTTTTCTGACTATAAAGAAAAAATCTTACAGAAATATCAGAAAATCTAGAAGGGAAAAAAATTAAGGAAAGTACTCTGTGTACATATATAATAATTTCCGCATGTGTATGGTTAATATATAAAATAAAAATTATATTAAGATACTTTTATAAGCCTGAACCAAAAATAAGTTGATATATAGTCAGTTTATTGTAAATTTCGATCTTATTAATCGATAATAAAAAATAGTAAATTGTATAAAAATGATAAATTTTTTTAATGAACAAAAAATAGGTACTTAAAAGAACATGAAAGTAAATTTTATTCAGGGACATTTAGTCCCCTAAGAATAACTACAGTGAACAAAAAAATGACAACTGTCTGGTATTATCAAAAAATAAAAAATTATTAGTTAGCATAACAAAATAATCCAACCTTAAAATAAAAATAAATTAAGTATAAGTAAACGTATTAATTTGCACATAAATATATATGAGTGTGTTCATATATTTACTATATTGTTAATATATAAATAGCACTAATATAACAGTCAAATGAAGGTGCCAGCTCTTAAATACGAAATTTTGTTCTTACATGTGATCGGAAGATAAATTGCATAATAAGATAAAAAAAGAATAATTGTTGTTTAAATGTGGTTAAGTAAGAGGATTTACGTATGGAGGCAGGTAATGAATTCCATAAAAAGCTAACATGCATGACAAAGGATTTTTTAAAGGAAACTATGAGAGGGAACAAATAGATTTATGGACTGAGATCTCGTGTTAAACGAGAGAACAGAGGAACAAGGAGTAATTAAGGAGGTAAGATGGCTTTTTGGTTGTAAAGGTACGGAAAAGGAATTATAATATTTTTATCACTTGTATTTCAATTCTATTCTCCTTATCGTGTTTTTCGATATTATTACCATTATAACTTGAAAAAGTAAAATAAAAACATTTTTATAAAAATAAATATATATATCTATATATACATTAAGGCCTTGATATACAACATGTTTTATGCATTTATTCCATAAGAAGCAGCTAGAAAACAACAGAAAATTTAAAAAATTGTTTTTCGAAAAATTTCGTAAATTTTACATAATTTAGATTCGTCCAAATTCAATTTTTTTAAAAAATCACAATTAACAATATAAATATTTTAAAATTCAGGAACGCTATTTAATACATTTATAAATTCAAGAATAAATTTATTTATTGGTTTTAGGTGATATAAAAAAAATATTACATATAAAAATAAAATATTATTTATAAAAACATTACATTGGACGATTAATGAAAATAGATAATATAAGGGCAGAAAACATATTTAAAAAATAGATAAATGTAGTTTTAGATATTTTTTAACTTTCTTCTTCGGAGAGAAATCTCTATTAACCGTTTGTTCCTCATTTTCCAAAACCGTTGATATATTTGGAAGTATTACATTTTCATTTAGTTTTATTATGTAAAAAGTATCATACTGGAAAAAACAATATAGAGATTAAGTTTTAGATATTTTTAAAAGTTTCTACTTCGCAGAGAAAATGTGTGACCGTATTCACGACATTTTCTTCAAAACTAGGAAAATATTGCGGTCGGAGAACTGGGCAGAGCCACTTATTGGGCAAAATGTTTTAAATCCACAGAGAGAAAATCCATCGAAGTACTTAATGATTTCATTTGATGAAATGTTACTGAATGAATATTTTCTAACCATCTATGCTTATATACTTCGTAATAATTGACAGTTAGCATAGCAAATAAATGTTATTAAAATTTATAATATTTGAAAGAGAGAGAATAAAAAAAAAATATTTGGCTTAGAAGCGGTAACCCGAGCCACTGCTTATGCCAAATCATAAAAAAGCATGAATCAGCCACTTTCTAAAACCATCCCCACCATTTCCCGGTTCTACCTCTCTCTCTCCGCACTTATAGGCTTCGTGCTTAATATGGCAACACTTAACGACTAAAGCATTTCACTTAGCAGCTTCTCATAATCCACAGTACAAAAATTCAATCATCATTTTGATTTGATAGAACAGGTTTAACCAGAGATTCGGATCTGCTAGGAATACACAGTATTTTCGGATTTATAAAAAAAAAACATACATGATGTTGGAATAGCTATATATTGTGAATGGTCTCTTGGTCATGTAGGCGTTATTGGAAATACAATGGCTTAAATAGTAGCAAAAGATGGTCTGCTCCCAAATCGCGGTAAAGTTTGCTTAACTACGTACAAACTAGCAGGACCATAAAGAAGTCATATTCAAAGAGTGCCAAACATTGTGGGATACTCCAAATAAACAATAAATAAATAAAGGCCATAAAGAATGAAGTGAAACAATGGAGCAGTTTCAGTCGCAGTAAATTCGGATAGGAAGTTGTCTTTACGCGGCACTGAATACGAAATACTAAGCTTACGCACCTACACTTAGCAACTAAAGAAAATCCGCCGGTATCCATGACATATCTAAGGTGTAATGAGTGATTAACATAGTTTTGTATTTGAAAGATTAACATAAGAAAACTAAACGAAAAAGGAATATTTACAAATAAATCAATAGCTTGGAAAATGATGAAGAAGTCGAGAATATGGTCACATATTTTCTCTGCGAAGTAGAAACTTTTAAAAATATCTAAAACATAATCTCTCTATTTTTTTTTTCCAGTATGATACTTTTTGCATAATAAAACTAAATGAAAATGGAATACTTCCAAATATATCAACTGTTTAGGAAATTGAGGAACGAACGGTTAATATATGAAGAAAGTTTAAAAAATATATAAAACTACATCTCTCCATTTTTTAAATATATTTTCTACCCTTATATTATCTATTTTCATTAATCGTCCCATCTAATGTTTTATAAATAATATTTTATTTGTTGCTCGTAATATTTTTTTTATATCACATAAAACAAATAAATACATTTATTCTTGAATTTATAAATGGATTAAATAGCGTTCCTATATTTTAAAATATTTATATTCCTCTTTAAAATATTCTGTGATGTATTTAAAAAATTGAATTTAGACGAATCTAAATTGCGTCAAATTTACGAAATATCTGCAAAAACTAGTTCTTAAAATTTTCTATGTTGTTTTCTGGCTGGCTGTTAAAGAATAAATGCATGCAACCTGTTGGTTATCAAGGCATTTTTTTATATATTTTTTTCTATATATATAATGAATAATTCTATAATATATAATATCTATGTTAAAAAAAAATATGAAAAAATATATATTTTAACATACAACGTGTTGTATTATCAAGGACTTTATTAAAATATATATTTTTTCATTTTCTTTTTTTTACATAGATATTATATATTATAGAATTATTTATTATATATATATATATATATATATATATATATATATATATATAGAGAGAGAGAGAGAGAGAGAAAAATATATATATAAAAAAGGCCTCGATATACAACAGGTTTTATGCACAACCAGCCAGAAAACAACAAAGAAAATTTTAAAAACTAGTTTTGCAGATATTTCGTAAATTTTACACAATCTAGTCTAAATTAAATTAAATTAAATTTTTTAATTACACCACAGAAAATTTTAAAGAAGAATATAAATATTTTAAAATTCAGGAACGCTATTTAATCCATTTATAAACTCAAGAATAAATTGACATAAACATTTATGTAACAATACACTAAATACCGTTTTCTATAAAATCACGATATTTTTATTTTACTTTTTCAAGTTATAAAGCCAATAATATCAAAGAAAACGATAAGGAAAATAGAATGGAAATACAAGTAATAAGATTATGACAATAAGAAACAAACATGCTTGTATCTTGTATTAATAAAAGAAATACGTCAGTTACCGATGTTAAGAATTTATCACACAAACATAAAACAACACCCATCGAATATAATCGAAGCAGTAACACCCTATTCTGATAAGTGAACATAAAACAACTGTATATGAATAATTTATAGAATACAGTGAGGGATAAAATATTTGTACTTATCACATTAATTAAGCAATAATTAATTAAATTACGCGAAGCAAACGTAAAATAAAAATTCAGTAAATATTTAGATAACAATTTACGTAACCTAAATAAACAGGAAATACAGAAGAATCACGCTTTTAAGCGTTTAAAATCCTTAGAAAAAGAAAATCCTTAGTATTAATAACATTTATTAAAGCATTAATATTTATAAACGTGAACAAAATAAGAAAATATGCATTACTTATGTAAATGCAAGTATTAATAATTTGGAAATGTTTTAATATATGAGCGGCTTCATATCAAATACGGACATCTCTCATTTTCAGAAAGTGAAGTACAAGTCAACTTTTGTACTATAGGCTCAGCTCAAGCTGTTTCCATAAAACATTTCCTTTCCACTTTGGTCGTATGATATATGGCCATATTGGGCCGTTTGGCCTATATAACCTCGTTATTTTGACAATTTGGTGGTGCAGGTCACGCCGAACAACTCAATATTTTTGAAGGCCACCTTTTTTCTCGACTTGGTACCCAAGTTATCTTACGATTCAAGTGGAACGCAAATAGGTATTTGCGGTTTTTTTTAGTACTTAATTAAATTAATACAGTTTGCCGAACTTACGATGAGATGAAGCTATTTACGAAGTTTCAGCCGGCTGTTAACAATTACTATGAAGCTACCACGGACTATGAAGTTATATAACAAAAGTTGGCTATTTCACAACTTTTTAAAAATAATAGATATCCGTCTTTGATATCACTCATATAATTTATTTTACATATGTAATAAATAACTTTGAATAATCATTTCAGAAGAACTGAAATAAGCCTGTGTATACAAACACACGTACGTAGATCTTGAAAGTATTTTTTTTTAAATCATATAATTTACAACTATATTTAAAAATAAGAATATTTCACATATGAAAATTGTTTACAAACATATCTTAAATTACGCAATTAAATTTTCCAATTTATGTCGGCGTTACGTAATCAGATTTCATATCATTTGAGATGAACAAAACCCATACAATGTTAGAAAGTACACAAATGAAAATAAATAAACTTTCCGGATAATTTAAGTTTCGGATGAAATAGCTCCGGAAAAGCGGGTTCGACAGGGAAAAATACCTTCCTTAATCATTCCTTAGAGTGAAGATGTTATCTCCTAGATATTTTGATGTATTAATAAATATTTATGTAGTGGCGCAGTGGCATATCTAGATCAATTGATGAAACTATGATTTATTTTTAAACCTACTTCTCAAAAAAAACAAACATACAAAATTACGTTTTCGTCTAATAAAAACAAAAATATAGTATTTTTTTCACAATAAAGTGACAACTTTATTGGGGAAAAAAAAACATCGAAGGGCCACTTCAGTAATTGGAACACGGGGGCGTACCACCCACTACGCACCGAAGAAACGTCACTAATACCTCTTCTGTTCAAAAAATATTGTTAATGGTACACATACGAGTATATGTTGTACAGAGGTCCTCAAAGACCGTCCCCAAATGTGGGTGACAAGACAAGGAACACGGTAAATCACTATGCAAAAGGATATCATTCATGCTACGATGGATTTTTAACTTACAAAAATTATGGACTAATGAATAATTTTGAGATATAGAAAAAATATTTGTGGTTTAGACGATCAATCATACTTCATGGATGAGGATTTAAGAACTATTCCCATGCCTGTCATGTCATCATTTTTTGTATTTCCAGCACATTTGATGATTTTAACAAAAAGTTGAAAAGCGCAAATGCATTTTTATAGACAAAAAAAACTATAAACAAATTATAAAATAGGAAATTTATACTGTAACTAAGATTAAAAAATACAAGAATGAATTTTTTTTCGGAAAAGAAAATGACAAGAAAAATTATATTCTAATATAATTGAGGTGATTACATTGCGACGAATAAAAGGATGTGTAAAATTCTTGGGCTTAGTGACGAAAGAATACCTTACAGGTAAACGTCAGAGGGAGTAGACCGAAGCGAAGGTTGGAAGACTGCTTTAAGGTTGGTCTGACGGGCTGGGCTGGGTATGGACGGCAAACGGTGGAGGAAAGTGTGGAGACAGCGACAAGTATTGTCGGCATCGAACCTTCGGGATTACTAAGCCTTTATTATAATAATAGAAAAGATACATAAGTCATTTTTATCCAAAGATATAGAATCTCTAACGATTCAGTTGGGGCAATGAACGCGTTGAAAAAGCATAAGAAGAAAATTTCATACACAAGGGAGTCAGGCTCCAACTTTAAAGTAACCAGAAATTTCGCAATCAATTGGGTAATCCAACAATAATGAAAACGATTAATATCAGTTGGAGCATTGAGCAATATTCTTGTTGAAGACCAATCATAAAGAAAATGTTATAAATTTAAATGTGACCATAGAAGACCTGAAACGAGACCAATTTGGTCGACAGAGAGTTGGAAAGGGCCATACTGCCAGTTTGAATCATTTATCAAAAGGAGCAGGTGCGAGCACAATGAGAGTCGAACAATGTTATTGTTCCATTCCAGAAATAAAAGGAACATTTGTTATCAAACGATGGAAAACAATTAAGGGGAAATATATCCCTCCAGTTCAGGCAGGAAAAGTATGTAACATTATTAAGGGCTCAATAGCATACATGCTAATTACTACACTAATATATATATATATATATATATATATATATATATATATATATATATATATATATATACACATATATATATACAGGATGTACCGTAAGTAGAGGGAAATGTTTATAGGAGTGATAGCAGACTTCAAGAGCTATAAAGAAAAGTTCATAAAGTTCATATAAAGAATGGGACAATTTTCAGCAGAAAATTAGGAAATCAGAGTTTTGACTATTTTTGGGCAAGCCGTATTTTTGTTGAATACGCAGTGATAAATAAAGAAACATTTAATTTAATTAAGCAAAAATAGCCTTACTGCGAACCAGACAAAATTTACTTTAAATGGAAATAAAGTTTGGCATCGTTAAACCATTTATGAAGGACTTTTTAGCGGCTAAACTAAGCTAAGTTCTGTCCAAAAAATCATAATTTTCGCGATTTTTTTTTTTATCATTATTCAACTACACACACTACAGGTACTCCACTTTTAGAAAAACAACCTCGTTTAATAAGCTTAAAATCTAAATGAATTAAGTTGAGATTTATTAGGAAAAAAATTAGAGATTCACCTCAAGTTGTGTAAAAAAATTATGTTTTATCCTGTCACGTAAAAGTAACCGTGTTATCAGCAAAAATGACTACAACTGATTGTAGCTTCGCTTTTATTTCTTATTTTTCCATGATCTGGGATGTATATATAATAAACATTAGTGCATAAATATAATTTTTATTTGTATATTTTTTTTAAATGATGGTTTTTCAAATTTCATTTTGGTAAAGTGAATCTAAGTTTTCACCTACACATCATAGTAATTGATAGGTATTTATAAGTGACAAACTAAATGTTCCTGATCGTACTATTTAAGTTTTCATGAAAATAATTTAATCAATCAGCAAGTTAATTTATTTTAAACGTATATCTAGGTTTTAGTTTTCGAAATGTATTTATATAGCATATGCTTAGCATATATATTATGATTTATTTATCCCAGAATTTCTTCATTTATGCCTTTAGAATAAAATACAATAACAGATTTGTGGGATATTAAGCCCCAGAGCTATATAATAAAGAAGGAAAACATAAACAAACAGAAATAATAAATTATAAGTTAACTTCTAACATTCATCTATTTAAGAAAATAGTAATAATTAAAAACCAATTAATAATTTATAATGAGAAACACTTATTTATCTTTTTTTGGATAACTGGATGAATAAAAAATGAGTGAATAGGCGGGATTTAAAGACGGGAAGGTTGTTGGAACGACGTATGTAGGAGGGATTACAATTTCATAGGGACGAGGATCACATAATGAAAGATACGTATAGAATTTCATAGTTGGAGGGGCTAGGGTATTTTCAGATTATTTTGTAAGAACAATTGTTTAATAATCTCGAAATGGATCAAATAAAGTTCATCATTTATATATATATATATATATATATATATATATAGAGAGAGAGAGAGAGAGAGAGAGAGAGAAAGAGAGATATGCATTTATTAAATCAAATAATTAATACATCATATAACAACTTGTCTAATATCTAAACCACTTACTTAAACCATAATAAAAAGGCTGCTTTACCTGAAACAAAAATAAACACATATTAATTCATAATAAAAACAGGAACATATAATCACTATATGGTAATATTATAGTAAAAATACTTAATAATAATAACCTCATTAATAACCACACAATAATGGAGCTAGAAAAATAAATAATCCTAAAATATTTTACGATAAATAAAGAAGATAAAGTGCCCATAAATTATTTATGTCTTTGGCAAAAGAAAAAGGGTTTGTAGATAAGAAATCATAATAAATTGTAGACAGTTAACAGTTAAGGTGCAATAAAAACAGACTCCGTTTTAAGTACGGGCTTCGTGAAATGGTCATTCAACTTCAACCATTAAATGAATGGAATATATATATTTTTTTTACCATATAGAATGAGGTTTTAAGCACTATAAACAAATTAAAATATTAGCAATTTTATAATGTTACTAAATTAATTAAATACGAGAAAAAAAATTCCCAGAAAAGATAACGACAAGAGAAAAATGTATTATAATAAATTAATTTCTAATACAATATGCATAAACCTCCTGTGTATTAACTTATGAGTCATTTCAAAATTAAGATCATTGTTTTAGAAACAAATAATTATTGAAATACTGCATTTTTCCATTTCTTAGCAATCTATATAGTTGTAGAAAGTTATCAATATAAGCAGATATTATCACTGTAAGCATAAATATGCCATTTTGAAAATATATATAATTTTATAGTATGGGCTGAACTCTATTAGCGCCAGATTATAATAATTTAATTTTATATGTATATGGTGGGTAAATAATTGTATTGTTACATTTGATTTAATTTGTTTCCTTTCCGTGAGAATATTTATTTACTTATAGAGAAAATATATTAGTTTTTTTTTAATTTTATTTATTTATAATGTACCAGTTGTTTGCTATTTGCTGCCAAAGAATAATGAATTGACAGGAGATTGTTTGTAACCTTATTCCCCAAATTTAAGGATTTTCAAGGAAATGTGAAGTTAGAAAGTGAGGATTAGTTTTGAAACCTTGTTAATTCAAAATATTTCCAAACAAATTACTATCAAAGTTTACTCATTAAAAGTAATTTTTTAAAAAAAATATTGATTTGGTAATACGATTTATTATTTTAAATGAATGATATTTGATTTAATATTTGTATCTTCTAAATATTTCATATTATCATGGCTGCACCGAATGTATTAGATTTATGTTTTAAGTCCCCAGGATTTCTGGACCAGAAGCTCTCATGCCTCCAGTGGGTTACAGAATTGAAGAACTGGATTCTGGTTGATACCAGAATTTTTGTATCTAGATACAACTGATACGGGTACTTTTTTTGTATCTGATACAATTGGGTCAGTAGTTTGTCATTGACTTCCTAAAACTTTTTATGTGATAATTGTATCGGATATTTTTATTTTATACTTGTATCGAATATTTTTATCTGATACTTGTATGTGATATTTTTATCTGATACTTGTATGTGATATTTTTATCTGATACTCGTATGTGATATTTTTATCTGATACTTGTATCGGATATTTTTATTTGATACCCGAGCGGTATTGTATTTTAATCCGCCTATCCAACTGTAATTGATTACTGACCGGGTTTGATATTTTATTCAATAATTTGATATTTAATAATAATAATTGTATTTAATACCTATCTGATACCTAATAAAACATATATTAAATATGTACCTGTGTCTGTATGTATGTATATATATATATATATATATATATATATATATATATATATATATATATATATACGTTATTTTACTTCTAAACCTTTTATTCTACTTTTAAATTATGTAGCTTTAATTTAAATTGATTAAAGTGTGAGTGTGCTCTCTGAACACTATTATAAATGTCCTTGATTGTGACAGAATGTAATATTTCTAAATAAACAAATATAATAATAAAAAAAAAATTGTTTTATTTCATTATGACATTTACAACTGTATTACACAAATACATTAAGTAAATTTGGACATAATTGATATAATGACATGAATACACTTGCTGAGTAACTACCCAATGGTAGCACTCTAATGATATGACTACATTAGGAGATCACGGGGCCATCTTCTTTTCAGACGCCTCGGAGGGTTATCAGGAATTGAAGAGGAAGCAAGGTTAAAAACGAGAGGGTTGGGATGATTCTGAAGTTTATTATGGAAGGATAGGTATCTGGAACATAAGGAACATTAAGATCTTTATGGATAATTTTATTAGTGACAAAGTAAGGAGCATTGAGGATTTTACGAAGGATTTTGGATTGTAAGGATTGGATGCGAGAGGAATTGGATGGTTTAAAAAAAAAAAAAAAATTAAATTGAAAATATTCAAATCGAATATTTTGGCGTATTTAGAGCATTGGAGTACTAAATTAAATCTTTGTTACTGTGGATTTTCTTTCTTGATCGCACAACGCAACTTCTTGATGACTTTCATGTCCAGCGGTATATCTGTCTTATTCTTTTCTTTTACTTTATTTAATAAGATTTAGTTCATTGTAAAAGTACGTATATACTGTGACAGTTTTATGACTGGAAATCCAATCAATCGAAGAGAAAATTTAATGGAAAAAGAAAGTACCTGGAGTGAAACTAATGGAAATAAAATTGTAAAAGGCAGATGGTAAATTTCCACCGATGAAACGGACTGGTAGGAGAAGCAGCAGACAATGAAGGGACTACAAATTAGGCGTAATGGCTAACCATCCTGGCAAGTTCATTGAATTAAAACGTCCAGCCGAGACCTCATCACCGCTGGGGTCGCTAGCTTGATTGGATTCCTCGCTAAGTGCATCCAGTTGTTGCCGATGTTTTACATCCGTCCATCGTTTACCTCGGCCGATCCAAGCATCGGCCTTTTCTGTATCTAGTGAATGGCTTC